ACCCTCTTCTGCGCGTGACCGATACTCGCCAACTAACTGCTCGCAAACAGCCTGGAACTGCAGCGGGGGATACTTGGTCCAATTACATCCAATCAGACATGAGTGTTTCGGACGCTTGCGAGCAGGCACTTTGCGAGTAGTGGGGCGCGCTCGGTGGCCATCCATCCTCGGGACCCGGTGGAAGAGGACACGGTGCCGTCTCCCTCCGCAAGCACGGCCGCGGACGCGCGTCTGGCCAGCTCAGCCGCAGGCCGCCGCCACTGGACCAGCTCCAGCAGCTCGACTACGATCTTCTACGGCACGGACGGGCCGAGAGACTTGCCAAGCCGCGATCGGAAGCATTGTCCTTCGAGGAGGGCTGGCCGCACTCGTACTTGAAGCTGCCACTCCTCACGGCCCCAGTCGCCCCGCAGAACAGGCGCGCGATCATGGGCAGGCCGCGGACCAGGGCGCTGTCGGCGTGGAGGGAGGAGGAGGAGATGGAGGAAGAAGAAAAGGAGGCGGAGGAAGAGGAGGAGGCGTCACGTCGTTCGGTCGCTCCGTTGTGCCTTTCTCTCTGGCTGTCTGGCTGCTGGCTTTTTCTTTTCCTTGCCCTCCCCCGGCGGCCGCCGGGCGGAAGGGTTCCGAGGACTTCACCAGCACCAGCGGGAGAGAAGTTCGCAGCGTCGGTCGTCGAGGCGAAGGAAGAGATAGTGTGGGGAAGTAGGAGGGAGCGGAGGAGGGGAGGAGGAAGGGGAGGAGCCACGATGAAGGGGGTGTGGGGGAAAGAGGGCGAAGGAGGCGACGAGGGGAGGGGAGGTGGAGGAGGAGGAGGAGGAGAGGAGGAGGTGGAGGAGGAGAGGAGGAGGAGGAGGAGGAGGGGAGGAGGAGGAGGAGGAGGAGGGAGGAGGAGGAGGAGGAGGAGGAGGAGGAGGAAGGAGAAGGAGGAGGAGGAGGAGGAGGAGGAGGAGAGAGAAGAGAGGAGCACCCCTGCCATTCTCCCCTCTCCCTTCTCCTACGTACTCCTCCTCCCCCCCCCTCTTCCTCCTCCTCCTCCTCCTCCTCCTCCATCTTCTCCTCCTCCTCCTCCTCTCTCTCTCCTCTCCTTCTCTCCTCCTCTCGGCCTCCTCCCCCACCCCTTGTCGCCGCCTCCTCCTCCTCCTCCTCCTCCTCCTCCCCTCCTCCTCCTCCCTCTTCCCCCCCCCACACACACACCCATCGTGCCTCCTCTCCTTTCTCTTCCTCCTCCTCCTCCTCCTCCTCCTCCTCCTCCTCCTTCTCCTCCTCCCTCTCCACCCCTCTCCTCCTACCACTCCTCCTCCTCCTCTCCCTCCCCCTCTTCCTCTTCCTCGTCCTGTTCCTCTTCCTCTTCCTCCTCCTTCTACTCCACCTCTCCTCCTCCTCCTCCTCCTGTTCCCTCTACTCCTCCTCTACTCCTCCTCCTCCTCCTCCTCCTCCTCCTCCTCCTCCCCTCCTCCTCCTCCTCCTCTCCTCCTTCTCCTTCTCCTTCTCCTTCTCCTTCACCTCCTCCTCCTCCTCCTCCTCCTCATCCTTCTCCTCCCCCTCCTCCTCCTCCTCCTCCTCCTTCTCCTCCTCCTCCTCCTCCTCCTCCTCCTTCTCCTCCTCCGCCCTGTCGTCCTCCTCCTCGCCCCCCACACCCTTCGTACCCTCCCCTTCTCCCGCCGCAGGAGGGGCAAGGGGAGGGATCGAGCGTCCGGGGGGCCTCTTGCTGTGAGGGGTACGTAGGTTGGCTCCGAGTGGGTCCAGCGTGTAGGGAGGGGGAGAACGTCGATGGCTTCTCTTCGGAGGGCTTGGGCGAATTTGAAGGGATCGAGCGCCTTGGAGGGATCGAGGATGGGGAAGGATCGTGCGTGCTGGAGGGATCGGACGCAGGGAGGGGAGGGGAAGGGAGGGAAGGCGGGAGGGGGAAGGACAAGGTCCAATGTTCAAGGGTTGAGGGTCGGGCTGTGTCCGAGGCGTCGCGGTCCGCAGATGCAAATGACGGGAGGGAACCAGTGGCACAAGGGCCAACCCAGGGGCAACAAAGACAGGGCGCACGCGGGGAGGGAGTCGAGGAGAGAGGGAGGGGCGGAGAACCGAGGAGGGAGGGGAGGTCGGGAAAGGGTGGGGGATCCTCCTCGTTCCTGGTTACCCTCTTCGCCCTGTTCCACCTCCTCCTCCTCATCCCTCTCCCTCTCCTCGTTTCCTCCTCTTCGTCCTCTTCCTCATGCTACGGATCTCCCCTTCATGAAAACCGTCATCCTCCTTGTACGTATCCTCCTCCTCCTCCTCCTCCTCCTCCTCCTCCTCCTCCTCCTCCTCCTCCTCCGCGTTCCCGCCAACGGTCCTCCTCCGCTTCGCTGCCCTGGGGAGGAGAAATGGAGAAGGGAGAACGGGAGGGAGGACGGTCTGGAAGAGCAAGGAGAAGACGGGACGAGGGCGGATAAGATGAGGAGGAGGGAGGCAGTAGCAGGGAAGGGAATGGATTAGGTAGAAGGGTGGAGCTCCTCTTGTTTGATCAGCTTCCCTCTCAAAACGACCTCATCCGACAGATGCCTCTTCACCTCGTTCCCTCATCCTCATCCTGCTCCTCATTCTCCTCCTCCTCATGCTCGTCCGCATGCTTGCACCCTCCTGGTCCCGATGAAGAAGGATGGGGGGAGGAGAAGGGAGGACTGCTCTGTCCCCCACGTGCACACGGACTGCAGCAGCCATGGAAGAACCACTGGCACTGTCTGGACGGTGTAACGCCGTGGCCGCGAGCAGTCGCCACTGTACCCCCTCGGTTCCCCGCGGTCGACACAAGGAGAACCAAGCAGGAAAAGCAGAGAACGTAGGGAAGAAGGGGTGCAGGAGGAGGCAGGAGGCAGGAGGAAGCGGGGAGCGGAGGAGGCAGGAGGCAAGGGGGGATAACAGGAGGAGGTGGGAGCGGAGGGGACGGGAGGAAAAGGAAGGAATGCGTTCGAGGGCCTCTGGCGGCTCTGGCAGAGATTTGAAGGGGGGCCCATGGAGCTGCAATAAGGGGTCACAGACAGGAGAAAGAAAGGGGGGAAAGGACGGATAAGATGACGCGGAGGAGGAGGAGGAGGAGGAGGAGGAGGAGCAGGAGGAGGAGGAGGACGACGACGACAATGAGATGGGAGAAGCACGCATCGTTTATGCCCACCGCCCGTCCGACGTCGTGCTTCCGTCACGGCGTGGGCACCAGAGCTCGCGACCCCAGCCCCTGGGACCGCTGTTGATGGTCCCTCGAGGGCCGAACACGAATCCCGAGACGCTGACATCGTGCGAGAACGCCCCGCAATCACATGACGCCGTGAACAGCGCCAACGCAGCCTCGTGCCTAGTGGCGACATCATGACAAAAACTCTCGACCCCGCCTTTCCCCCTCACTGTTCAGCCGGATCGGTCCGAGAGGCCGCCTGAGCCGGCGTGGTGACATCTTGGAGGCGTCCAGATCTGATGGGGCAACGTGCCTGCTTGGGGGAGCAACGGGGGACCGATACCGCTGCTCCCTTGACTCCTTCCAGGATGCGCTCCGACCCGCGTTCGCAGGCAAATCGGGCCGTGACAGCGAGGCCACCCGCCTACCGCCCCAGAAGGCCAGAAGATGCGGAAGCACGCGGGAAAGATGCGGGCCTCGGTCTGTGCGCCTTCCCCCGACTGTTTCGTTTTGCGCACGGCCGAACTCCGAAACAGGGGCGGGAAGAGGCGGGACAAAAAAAAACACAGTGGAAAGAAACAACCACAAACACACACACACACACACACACAACAAAAACACAATGCGGAAACAGACACCAAACACACATACACACACATGCACACACAGAAACACATACACACAAATCCATACACAAAAACAAAAAGCACGCACGGAGTCTGTGGAGCAGAACACACACACACAGAAAGCATTGCCGAAGACCGACGGCTGCCGCCGCTGGGCGGGCAGTGCCTGCCCACCAAGAGCGGTCAGCGCTTCCGCGGGGCGACGCCAGGCAGGGAGCCCTGCGCAACATGGGCAGGAACCGTTGCTGGTCTTCGTCCCATCGCCATCGCTCGGACGTCCACTCCCCGTGCAAGCTGTCGATGTCGTGCGAGCATTTTTTTTCGCAAGGTGACCCAGGATGCTCCTCGCCAAGGAACGTGTGCACACGTCCGAGCGGCGCCAAGCAAGAGGGGGGCATCCAAGCGGGTGGTCAGCAGCAAGAGGGGGGCGTCCAAGAGGGGGGTCAGCAAGCCGTGACCGTGGGGCCGGCGCAGGGAGGGGCGGGGGCCAGGGAAGGAAGAAAAGGGGGCCATGAAAACAGGCGAGCTTTCATGACCCTGGTCAGTCCCTCACACCCCCTAGTCATCACCCCGGCTTGAGCGACGATCAGAAGCGGATCTCACGTGAGATGACACATCGACCTTACGCCGCAGCTTACGCGGGCCGCCAGCGCGCACGCTACTCTGGAAGCGAGGGCGTCTACGCGCGACCTTGATTACGCGGGCAGCTCACGCGCCAATGTCGCAGACAATCCTGTTTTGTCCGTCGCTCACTTGGCAGCCTCCGACTTCTGGATCGTGCCGTCTCTTGACCGCTTCGGTAGCAACTCGTGGGAGCCTCCCGTACCATCTTGTCGGCTCTGACGAATCGACGCTGGTCGACGCTAAATCGACGCTGAACGACGCTACATCGACGCCAATCGACGCTAGCCGACACTACATCAGCGCTATCTCATCGACTTCAGACGCGAATCGACGCGAATCGACGCTGAAGACGGAATTAAGAGGGTGATCGTTCAAACTTGAACGATCGGACGTTCTGTGAACGCCGAATCGTTCAACGACGGGCCGATTCTGGGCCACGGGCGGCGTTCAACCTTAAACGCAGGCGGTGGGGTCGCCGCCGGTCGGCACGACGCGAACCTGCCGTACCAGGCTCCCATGGTTTGCCACCGAGTGGCCCGCGGTGCCGCGAGGGCCCAGGCCGAGGCCCCACTCCTCCATCCGCACCTCGGTGCAGTACTCCCGCAGCGTCAGCGTCCGCGGGAACGGCCGCGACAGCCCCGCGGTGTGGTGCAGGACCTGCCTGAGCGTCCGCCGCGCCCCCCATCGGGGGCGCGGAAACATGGATTGGCGATCCATGGATTTGGCGCGCGGTCGCCAAATCCATGGATCGGTGGAAGCGCCCTCCCCCAAATGCGGCCGGTGCCGCCTCGCTCGGCGGCGGCCCCTGCTGCGGAAACGAACAATGACATTAACACAAAAACTCGGAGGTCCGCGCGGATTTCTCGGATCGGCGATGGACCCTCTGGCGGCGCCTCCGGCGCCGCCCCTGGCGCGCTCCGCGCGCGAGGGGGGGAGATCCAGCGACGATCCGAAAAATCCGCGCGGACCTCCGAGTCTTAATGTTTACGTCATTGTTCGCTCCCCTAGCTGCGCCGGCCGCGGGCAATGCGAAGGGGGGGTCCCCACCCAAGGGGGGCGCCACCTGGACCTCCTCCGGAAGTCGGGCCCCTCCTGCAGGGCGAGGCGAGATCTGGAAAGATCCAGCGGCGCTGGCCAGGCCCATCCTGGGCCCAGGAGCAGTGCACACGCAGCCCTGGCTGGGCCAGGGAGGCCCATGCCCAGACCCCCTCGGGAAATGAAAAAGTCCTGACGGGAGGTTTTTGTTTTTTGCTATGTTCGGCCTCTGGAAGCCCTTGCTGGCCCTCGAGACCGTCAACAAAACAACGCAGGATAAAAAACGGGTCCAGGGCAACGGGTCGAGACCTCCAGGGGGCGACGCAATGAAAACATCATGACGTCGGGGGTCTGGGTACACCGCTCCGAGGCCCAGGATGGGCCTGGCCAGCAGCGGTGGATCTGAATAGATCTCGTCGCCCTACCGCCCTACCCCGGACCTCCAGGAGCCCCTCCCCCAGGACTCCCGAGGACGCCGCGAAGAGCACCCCAGGCATCCTTGATCCTTCAGTGTGGAGGCGACTGGGGGGTCTGAACTGGTTGGGGCCGCAAACAATCGATCAGGAGGGGGCGATCACGCCGAGCCCGCTCAAAATCTGTCCCTGGTCCCCTGCCGGGGTCCATGTGGCATATCGTTTTAATTGAGCAGGGACCGACCGTCCCCGCATTTCTATGGGCCTACCACGACATGTTGTTAGAACCCAATAATGTCCCAAACAAAAAACCATGTTCTTAGAACATAAACCCGATGTGTTTAAAACAAGACAGTCCTAGCCAGAAATGTTCTAAGAACAGTTCGTGGGAAACCACAAAAGGTTCTTAGAATATTGCTTGGTAGGCCTACAGGCACGCCAGGACGCTTCCTCATTGCTTGATTTTAGCCCTAGATGCGTCGTTCACGGGCCCGCGGGTCCCAAAAAGGCCCCGCGGAGGCCGAACGAGGCAACAGAAGCCTCCCCGGACTCAGAACCTCGATCCTGCCCGCCCACCCTTCCGGCCCAAACCTGGGCCACCTCGGATCCAAGACGGCTCCAGCCCCAGGCCTCCTCGATCCTCGACCCTCACTCTATCCCGATGTTCGATCTCCAGGACGGATGGATGGCCAGCGCTTTGAGCAGGTCGGGAGTTGAGCATCAAAACGCAGGGGATCGACCCGCGCCAAATCGCCGCTGTTTCTTTGGCCGCCTCTTCTTGGGCCTTCCTTCTGGCGACCAGGGCCGCCATCCTTTGCTCCTCGATCTCCAGGAGGCAATGATCATTCCTGTTTGGACGCCCGGATTGGGCACGGAAAACAGCAGCACGCTGCCCCACAACAGACGTTGTCCAAAACCGACGGCGGCCGCTGTTGGGCAGGCGGCCGTCGGTCTCAAATGGACAACGTCCACGGCGTCACCGACAGCGAGACCTGATCAACGTGAACAAGAACTGCTGTCGGTCTTCGTACCCATTTCGGGGAGGTTCGGGGGACTCGAGTTGGACTGACGGGGCCATCAGAAAAATGACGAGACCAGGTCTGAAATTTGACGCGCACTCCCGCTGCAGACATCCCACGGAAACTGGACCGTCGCTCGTCAAACAACGTCGGCACACGCAAGTTCCGGCGTACTCGAGTCTTATGTTTCCCCGACCATTGTTTCCGTACCCATTTCGTTCGCCCCCGTTCCTGGTGGCGACAGCCCCCGTTGGCAAAGCCCCCCAGCGGCCGGCGGGGAGGGCCGCGAGGAGGCGTCGGGTAGGAGCACGTCTCCTGACCACACTGCCGCCAACTACGGCCAGGCTTGGCGAGGGGCAAGTGTCGGGGCTGGCAGGACTGGGTGTAGCAGGACCTGGTTGAGTTGTTTTTCCAGCGCTATTTTGGGGAAGGGAAGGGGGAGGAAACGAGAGGGAGACAGCGCCCCCTCCGAACCACAGACCACGACAGGAAGCTGGCCAGCAAGCCTGCCACAGGACCGCCCCCGCCCCAAATCCTGTCTGCATGGATGCCCCGAGCATCGATGTAGCGGGACCTGGTTGAGTGATGTGTACCAGGGAACGCCCCCCCGTGCCCCATTCCCCTAAAACTGGAACTGCCGTCACCCGAAAAACACCAACTACGCGGCAGACCTGGTGGAGGGACTCCTGCTCATGTGTCGGGCTTCGGGGCCCAATCACTGGCCGGCTCCCCTTACCAGGGGTCCTGGCTAGACCAGGCAGCGGCTATACCCGAAAATGCGCCACGAACAGAAAACAAACGGTGCTCACGCGAGATGACGCAGCAGGCTTGCGCGGCGGCCCACGCGGGCCGCCGGCACAGCCGCTGCCGCCAGCTACGGCAGGGCGTGGCGAGGGGCAGACGGGCGACGAGCAACCGCGGGCCTCGCGCGAGACGACGTCGCGAGCCCTGGCCCGGTGACCTGCGCGAGCCGCCCGCGCGACGCGCCAACACTGGAGGCGGGGGTGCCTGCGCGCGGCCTGGCGCGGGCACCTCGCGCGCCGACCCACGGGAATACGACCCCGCCGTGCTGCGTCGCTCAAAATGTCACCAGGTGAGCCGTCGTGGGGGCCGCTGCGGACCTCCGCGGCCCTGCCCACACGTCGTCCAACTGCCAACCCAAACCGGGCGAAATCTGGACGGGATCCTGCAAACAGGAAGAATTTGTTGGACCCTCTGAGTCTCTTATGCAGGCCTGCACAACTGTCATGGCACTGGTCTTGCAGACGGGCTTCAATGAAAATGGACGTGGACTTCTGCCAATGGAACACCCGAAAACGACAAACGAAAAGCGCAGTGAACTTCACGTGTATTGCTCAAAATCGCGTGTCCCGGCTATACAAAAACACCTCGAAATTCACAACAGACTCCGGAAATAAATTCGCAAGAAGATCTAGAGCTCTTTCTGATTTTTCCGACTCAAATCTGCTCTGCGAGATTTGCTCCATGAGGAATCGAAAGCCTCGCTACGTGCGCAAGTGAAGTAGAGGCCTTTGAGATGGGGTCGGAGTAGATGGGGTCGGAGGGTCGCGCCGCCTGGTTGTTGCATCGGCGATTCATCTGCGCAGTCGGCGATGCATCGGCGAAACCGGCGTGGAGAAACTCCAGCTCCACATCGAGCCGCATCGCCGATGCATCGGCGATGCGGAGGGATCATCCGACCTCATCTACTCGGACCCCATGTGAAAGGCCTGGATGAAATTTTTGGGGGAGGAGTGGGCTAAACCGGCAGCCACGAGGGGGCCCAGAAAGGTGGGGCATGGAGCTGAGAGAGGGAACAGTCGAACCTAGGACAGAAGAGCATCCTCCAAGAACATGAGACCTTCCAGAAGCCAAAACAAAGAGATTATCCGAGGGTGCCCTCCACAATATTCACAAGGCCATTCAACAAACACAAAGAACACTAGGGTAATACCTCCCCGAACCGACCTCCATCTCATACCTCGGTCCGGCTGCACAGGCGGGGGTTGTAAGGACGGGGCCAGTGCGGGCCTCGGGAGGGAGACCAGTGGCGGGAGCCTCGGAGAGAAAGTGGGAGAGAGAGGCGGAGAGAGCGGGCGAGGAGTCGGAGCTGGAGCCCCAGATGTCCGACGACGTGATTTGTTTCTCAAGCTGGATGTTCTTGTACTCGCCTTCGGCCTCTGGGTACGCTACGCGGATCACTCAATGGAGGCCGACTCCGGGCCACTGGCAGCGTCCAACCTTGCACGCCCGCGATGGGATCGCCGACGCGCCCACGAAGCGCGAGGGTATTATACCTGCCTGCCAGCCCAGAACTCTGGCGTCGTGATTATTTCGAATCGTGGACCCCGGGAGGTCTGAACACCTTTCCGCTGGACTGGCCGGTCATCCTGAATAGATGTTTGACGGCCTCAGAGGCCGGTAGGGGCCTCGGCAGGCCGATAACATAGAAAAGCCGGCCGGTCCGATGTTTTGGGGTGGGTGGAGGAGTGCGGATCGTGACCATCCCTGCTCAGCTCAACGATGCGAATCGGACGGTCGCCATGCGGACACAAGGGTACCAAGGGTACCAAGGGCGCAAGGGTACCACGGGCGCCTAACTTCGCGCTTCGCGCTGCGCGAAGCGCGAATAACTTCGCGTCCTCGCGCCGCACCCAAGGGAGAAGCGGAGTATGAAGAGGAATCGGAGCCGAACCGCCAAGCGCGTTCCACTTACTGCCCTCGAGAGCGCCCTTGGGGTACCCTCGACTTGGCAGGTTCCACCTATACGAATCAAATTCGACTGCAAAATCGACCCGCGGCGGGCGAGCTCATGCAGCATCTGTGGCCAGTGAGAAAATTGAGCGCGCTGGCAGCAGAAGGCACACACCCCTGGCCAGGACGATCTAGCGATGGCGCACACAGTGATGGGCCAATTTGCAACCACCACTACCATAGGTAGGAAGGCGAAGAGAGGATGGGGAGGTCCTCCTCTTCCTCCTCCTCCTCCTCCTCCCTCTCCTACCTATGGTAGCGGTGGTGGATAAAAGGCATATCACACAGGGCGGGGGAGGAGGACGAGAGGGAGAAAGGACAAGTAACTAGCTGCCCAAACATAAGCTCTGGGAGCTCCACGCGGATTCCTGGAATAGAAATTGAATC